AATCAACAAGGTGAAAGTCAATAGAGACCAGGGCAAAGTACTCCTGTGGCGAAGGAAAAAACAAAAGGTGGAATAGCTGGTGGGGCGGCAGTACTGCTGGAAAGGATCTAGGGGTTCTAATCAAACATGACCCGTGCTGTGATGCAGCTGGCGTGTGTGGGACACGGGAGGTAAGTGCCTTGCTCTTCACGATCTTGGGGAGGCCTCAGCTGAAGTCCCGCATCCAATTCTGGGTGCTGAACCTCAGGCAAGATGGGGTCACATTTAGAGAGAGAGAGTCCAGAGGAGAGAAACCAAAATAATGAAAGGTTTAGAAAACCTGCCCTCTGGGGAAAGGCTAAAAAAAACCCCTGGGCGTGTTTACTTTTGCGAAGAAAAGGGGTGTGAGTGAGTGACAGAGTGAGTGAGAGAGTGAGAGAGAGAGAGAAAAAATAGTCTTCAAGTGTGGTTCAGGCTGTGACAAAGGATGGAGAGTTTTTGTGCCAGCTAAAGGTAGGCCAAGAAGTAATGGGGTTAATCTGCAGCAGAAGGAATTTAGGTTGGATATTAGGGAAGTTGACAACCTGTTCCAGACCCCAAGGCAGGTTGTGGAGTCCCCGCCGCTGGAGGTTTTAAGGACAAGGTTGTCAGAGATGGTCTAGGTTTGTTGGTTCTGCCTAGCACAGGGGGCTGGATCTGATGACCTTCTGAGGTCCCTTCCAGCCCTTCAGTACTATGATTCTCTGTACAGCTCCTAGCACAATAGGACCCTGATCTTGGTTGCAATCTCTAGGGGACTGTAAGCTCTTTGAGGCAGACGCTTTGTGTTCTGGGTCTGTGCAGCGCCTAATTCAAGGGGGGAAAATGATTTTTGATGAGGGGACCACTCCAAGACTTTGGTAAGTGATCAAGGGCTGCACTTTTCTGTGGAGGGGCTATGGAGTCTGGGTGCGGAAGGGAGCTCAGGGCAGGGCATTGGGAGAGGATGTGAGGTCTGAGAGGGTGTTTGAGTGAAGGAGGGGGTGTGTGCAGGATCAGGGAGCCCTGATTTGGTTCAGGGAGAAGGGGGGTGCAGAGGTTTTTAGTGACCTGGGTCAGGAAGGGGTAGTGACCTGGAATAGGGAGTTGGGTTGAAGAAAGGAGGGGTTGAGGTGCCAGAGACAGGCTATGGCTGGGAGGGGCTTAATTAGGTGTCTCCCGGCCAGCAGCCCAGCTGGACCCTCAAGCAGGCTGCCTGCCACAATCCCAGGCCACTCAAAGCAGCTGGCTGCTGGGGCTATGTGCCTCTCTATGCTCATGTTGGGGAGGGGAGAGGGACTTCACATGCTGCACCGCCCCCAGCACAATCATTGCAGCTCCCATTGGCTGGTTTCTGGCCCATGGGAGCTGCGATGACTGTGCGGGTGTTGGGGGCAGAGCACGAGGTCAACCTGCCCCTCCCACCCCACAAAGGGCGTGCGGGGCCTAGAGACACATGGCTCCAGCAGCCAGGGAGCCTGCCTGAGGGTCCTGCTGGGCTGTGGGCTAGATCCAAAGTCCTTCAGGCCATATCTTGCCCACCCCTGGCATAGCACCATGGGGCCTACTCCATGACAGGGACTTTTGGGTGCTCACAATGTGTTAAATAATAAACACTACTGTAATACAAACACTTCATAATTTTTATAACCCAGCCTAAGGCTGCCTTTGTACCACTTCCCCTTTGGAGACACTCCTCCCCCCCCTTCTTCCCCCCCGCCCCATCTTGTCTGAGGCGCTGAGATATCAGCACAGGGTGAGGGAACTGAGCCTGGGCCTGTACGCGGGCAGGGAGGTGGGGTCCGGGGACAAGTGAAAGGTGACGGGGTTCGTGTGTGGGGTCTGATTTAGCTGGAAGCTTCCCCCTTGTGTTGTGAAAGTCCCTTCTAAGCCAGATCAGTGCTTAGCCATTAAAAGGGTCACACCCCTCCTGACACACCCCTGTTGCAAAAGCTTTAGTGGAGAGGCAGCTCTGTTACCAAAAAAATGCTTTTGCCATCATGGTTGATTTTTTTTTTTTTTTTTTTCCACTCCCTGCATTGGGGCAAGTGATAGCAGCCGAGCACTTTGCCGATATAAAAGCTGCCAGGCCAGGAGATCTTTGCTGGTGAAGCTGTGGGGAAAGGGGTTGCTAATTCTCCCAGACTGGATGCCATTTATTGCGATGGTCTCTGGTCTGGGAGAGTTGGCAATGCGGGAGCATGGCCGTGAGGGAGGCACAGGCTGAAGGAGCAGCAGGCGGTTGCTCAGCCGGGTGGAGAGAAACGGCACCTTTAAGGGGAAAGAGCCATTTCTGATGGCCTCCCCCTGCTCCGTCTGAGTCCTCCAGCTCCGTGAGCGCCCTTGGCAAGCGAGGGCTGGGTGCTGAGCCCTGAGGGGGATGAAGCTGGGGGTTGCTGGAGCCCTGGGGGGGGAGGGAGGGAGCTGTCAGAGTCCTGGCACTGAGCCCGCAGGGAATGGGGCCCATAGGCAGCACTTGGCTGCCTAGGGCACCGTGAAAGTTGGGGCAACTTGGTGCCCCAAATTTTGTGGTGCCCTATACAGCTCCATGTTTTGCATATGGATAGGAACGGCCTTGCTAGTGTAGACAAGGCCAAAATGAGCTGGGCTAGGCTGGGTGAGAACTGGGTCACGCCCTGGGGAGGCAGCATGGAATACGGACCCCTGGCTCCCTGCCCTGGAACAACCTTGAACTGGGATCTGGGGGTATGAAATTCAGCCTCCTTAATCCCCTAACTCCCAGAGCTGGGGGCTTTCAGAGAAATCCCACTGGATAGTGTGGGACCTGGCAGCACTGACTTGCCCTCAACTCACATGCTGGCCTCCTCCTGATCCCCTTCCTCTGTCGATCCCCGTGTAGCCATGGTGGGTAGGGATGGGGGCAACCATCTCGCCCCATTTGCCAACCAGCTTTCTGCTTTCTGCTGGAGCCCCACAATTGCAATGGGAACGTGCCCCCACCCCCACCCCATGCAGCCGACGGGTGCCCCACTTGCCTCTAAGCCGGAGTGGTGGAGAGGAGAAAAGAGAGAAGCTCTGTGCAGCCACGCAGACGTGTTAATTGACCTCTCCTGAATGGGTCTGCCTGGCTCCTAATTCGCCGCCATTAATTATCGCCAACAGTCATTTGCCACCCCCTGTGCAAATAGAAAGGCCTTTGTGCTCAGTGCTGGCCCCCCTCTTCCGCCCCTCCACCCCCCCAGGAGCCTGCCCATGTTTGCCTAGGACCCTGGCACTTAACTCAGTGGGAGAAGTGGGGGTGAGAGGTGCCGGATCATAACCCTGGATCGGGATAGAAGCCCCACCCCTGCCAGTCTTGGTCTCCCCTAGCATCTACAACACAGTGATGCCCCAGCGTAGGAATGTAGCTCCCCCATCTAAGGGCAAAGGGGGCTCCCCCAGGCTTGGGGTAAGCAGCTCCCTCTCCCCCCAGGCTTGGGGTAAGCAGCTCCCTCTCCCATGGGCATCCCACGGCTCTGGCTCCCCCCTCCCCCCAGAACGCCCCTCCTCCTTGGCTAGTGTAATAATTGCTCCCCTGGTGCAAGCACAAGACCCAAGCATGAGCACGAGGCCCCAGCAGCGCCTCTCCCCGGCTTTGCTACAGGCTGGCTGGACTCTTTGCCCGGTGCTGCCCTGTCATTGCTAATTTGGCTTAGGTCCGGGTTGCTCCGTGGATGGGACCTTTTTCTCTCTGCCTTCCCTTCCCCCTTGGTCAGCCCGCCAAGAGCCTGTTGGTCAGCCCGCCAAGAGCCTGTTCCAGGAGCGGAGCTTTATTCTCACTCTGCATCTGTTGGCATTGGCATCCAGTCGGTGTCTGGGCTCTACCAGCGGGTGTCTGTCTTTGCTGTGGTTAATATACCTATCGCCCCTTTCTGGAGCATCCCTGCTCCTGCCAACGCCCAAGCACAGGACGCAGTGTTTGAGATCCTGCCTGAGGGGCGCCAGCACTGCAAATGCAGGAAACACCCTGTTCAAGAGTCCTTGACCAGGGATGCTTCTTTCTGTGCCCTGGGGCAAAGACGCCGCTTTCTTGATGGCACTGAAAGCAAGGGGTGAGCTGGCCCAGAGAGTCATGGGAACAGAAACTGTTGTCGTCTCAATCACAAGCCAAGCCCTGATGCACTGGGTGCTGCACACACCTGATGAGAGATGAGAGACAGTCACAACTCACTGGAGCTGGTGATCTAAACACACTGCTGGTCCCCATGATCCCAGTTCTGTGGATAGCAAACTCCTATGCGGAGGCAGGCTGCAGTTTCCCCAGGAGGCCAGTGGCAGGGCTGAGATTAGAACCCGCAGCCCCTTGACCACAAGTCCATCCTTCCTCTCTCCTGACAACCTGGGGGTTTCTACCCTGAGTGCTGCTTTCAGCCCAGCTACTCATGTCTGACCTGAAGTAGGTCTCCTAGAAGCGTTCCCTGTCTCGATTTAAGGACCATGTGCTCGGCTGGAGTGGGAGGATGGGGAGGTTCCCCCACCTCATTTGAGTTTATTAGTGCAGACTCGTTCATGTCCCGTCTCTCTGGATCGAGTCCCATCTGCCTTGGATTTACCCTGAGTGCTGCTTTCAGCCCAGCTACTCATGTCTGACCTGAAGTAGGTCTCCTAGAAGCGTTCCCTGTCTCGATTTAAGGACCATGTGCTCGGCTGGAGTGGGAGGATGGGGAGGTTCCCCCACCTCATTTGAGTTTATTAGTGCAGACTCGTTCATGTCCCGTCTCTCTGGATCGAGTCCCATCTGCCTTGGATTTATCTCCATCCCCCCAACTCCCTCCTGTGCAAAGCGGATGAGGCTACGAACCAAATTGCCCAGCCCATGTAAGATCGAAGGCTGCCTAAGCAAACAGAGGGCTCTGTGTGCGCTTCCCCCAGCTGGGAGCTGCGGCAGGCCCCCCCCGGGTACTGGCCCCTCCCTATTTCCTGGTCTTTAAACAACAAGAAGAAAACAGGGGGATTGTGTGTCTAGTGCCTGTGAGGGTTTTTTTTTTATCCTTCCCCTGCAGCTTTAATGCCGGGAGCTACGGACAGCTGGACACCACCGGGGAGGCTGGAGACCAGGAGAGCCAGCACCGAGAGGGGAGCCCTATAGGACGAACCCTGAGCTTCTTCAGGAAGATGACGGGCAAGTCAAAGGTAGGAGGGACCGTTCGGTTGTGACCGGGCCTGGGGGCTGGCAGGGAGCCTCCTGGTTGGAGCTTGTGATCAGAGTTCTCTTCCCAGCTCTGGGTGGGGAATGTTGTCTAGTGGTTGGAGCATGTGAGTGGCTGTCAGGCCTCCTAGATTCTCTTCCTAGCTGTGGGAAGGAAGTGTTGTCTAGGGGTGAGAGCATGTGAGGACTGGGCAGGTGACAGGACTCCTGGGTTCCCTTCCCAGCTCTGAATGCGGTTCGAGGTCTGTTGGTTAGTGTGTGTGAATGCATGCCAGGATGCCTGGATTCTTTCCCCAGCTCTAGGAGGGAAGTGTTGTCTAAGGGTTAGAGTGGGGGGAGGGAGGGCTTCCCAGCTAAGGAAGAGGATGGGACCTGTGGGAGACTTTGGAAGTGGTATGCTTTGTGGTATGCTCATCACTCCAGGCTGGATTTGACTCCATGACCTACTGGTAGCTGGTTCCCTATGATCCAGCCACTGCCCTAGAAGGCAGCTCTGTGGCGCTGTAACCCACCCTCCCTGCCCCTTCAAATTCCCATTTGCTCAGCCTCCTGCTTCCTCAGCCCCTGCCGGCTGCTCGGGGAAGTTAAAGCCTTTCCCAGCCTCACAAAGGAGCAGGTAGGTGGTACAGCGGGAAGGGCTGGTTTCTCTTGCGAGTGCAGGCACCGTTCTGCCTTGCCCATGGCTTTCTTTAATCGACTCCACATCCTGGAGTGTGTGTCTGAGAGTCTCCAGCCGCTGCGCAAACAACCGATTCTCCCAGGAAGGCTGTGCTCCACCAGCCGTTATGGAGTATATTGAGCTTCAGACTTCTGGCTTCTATCCTGGACTCAACCTTGGCCTAATGATGGTCCTGCCTCAGTGTCCCCACCTGTCCCGGGGGATAACACTATTTTTCCACCTTTGACAAATGCTGAGAGCCACATGTGACTAGCCTTATGTGAATGCTGAGAGCCATTATTTAGAATGGCTGGGCAGGTCCCACAGCTAGTTGGCCCCTTCTGACTTGAGCTAATGGGGAATCTCCATCAGCAGTACAGGGCTCATGACACAAAGCTGGGCAGTGCTGATTCCCTCCACTGGAGGGCAGTGGTGCCACACATGCACTTGCCCGTTTGGCACACTGCAAGCTGGCAGCAGATTTTTATGCTGGCTCGTCTCGCCCTTCCTCTCCAGGACTGTGCAAACAACAGGAAATGTTGTTTTTCTCTCGATAGCATCTGCAGGGTGCAGCCTTGCTCCTGCTGATTAGCGTGGATTAGGCAGCTGGGTTAAACCCCTCTTAGGCTGTTTTGCAGAACTCTGGCTTTGTAACCCCGGGCTCAGCCTTTGCAGACCAGTGTGTCCTGGATGCAGGATGGGTGCAGCTTTGCATGCTTGCCCAGATGCATTATGGGCTTTTTCCTCTGACTTCCTCCAAAGCATCCTTTCTGATGTTCTACAGATTGGGGGTTGGGCTGTGTGTGTGATCTCATGCACAGTTATAGGGCTAAATCGGGTGGGGCACCTTTTTGGGTGAGGGGCCGCTAACCCACAGAAAAATCAGTCGGGAGCCACACACAAGGGAGAAGCAAGGAAAAAAAACCCATCAAACGCTCACTGACGTGGCCTCCGCCTGAGAAGAAGACAGACACTCCCCACATTACCTGAGAAGACAGACACTCCGCACATTCCCCTCCCACACCAGAGCCCAGCGGGGTCTGGGCTTGTAGATTTTGTGCGCTCCAGACCTGTGGGAGGATGACGGAGTGTTTGTGGGGGGGGAGGCTGGAGCACCAATGTGGGCTCCCCGATGCTGGAAGGGGGGGGGGCTGAGCCTCGAGGGCTGGATCAAATTCATGAGGGAAGAACCCAGGAGAAGGGTCTCAAATCTCCCACAAAGCTGGGGCTGGCTGGCGCGGGACTGAGAGGATGGCCCACCCACAGCGGCGCTCCATGCCCCTGGAAGGGGCGGAGCCTCAGGTGGAAGTGGTGGGGCTGAGGACAGTCGGAGCATGGCCCTGGCCCCCTCTCTGAGGCCTCAGTTTTGCAGAGCTACGCTCTGGTGCTCCCGCAGCAATTCAATGGGACTTGGTACTCCGGACATGGCCACCTCCGCTGTAGCAGCATTAGCAGCCAGCAGCTCTGGGCCCCTTTGAAACACCAGGGCCCAGGGCAACTGTCCCCTTGGTCCCCCTGTCAGCAGGCCTGGCCCGTGCTCTTGAGGTATCTAGGACCCCTGCCCCCAAGCTACCTTCTGCAAGATGCCCAGAGCCAGAGCGGCTGGTTCTGTTGTACCCTGGGCTGTTACACCCAGCAGATGGACTCCGGCCCTGCTCCGGCCCGGCGCTGCAGAAGCCATTAATCCGACAATCCTCCCTCCTCCTTCTCGGTCAGGGGCGAGGGGGATTAGCAGCCAGCTGTTCCCAGCCAGCCGCTGAGTACAGACTTACTCATCCCTCCCTCTTCTCTCTCCCTCCCTCCCTCTCCTCCCCACCTTGCATGGTTAGGAACCTCTGGCAACTCTTGCCTCTTGGCTCCCGGGAGCGTGCATGAAGGGGAACGTTATGGGGAGGGGCAATGGCTCTGCTCTCCTTCAGACTGACTTGAGCCTGCCTTTCGCTCCATTCAACAGCTGTTTGCAGGTCTGTTTCCCCCCCCACACACACACACACTCACTCCTGCCGCCCTCAGCCTGAGATGATCCAAGCCTCCGCTTGAGTCATGGGGCGCCAGGCGGTTGTAGCAATTGGAAGGATCTCCTCTGCATTTCGCCCTGGCTTATTAATCGTGGGAGGAAGGTGGGAAATGGGATGGAAAGCTTTTTCCCTGGGAGCCCTGTCTGAGCATGGGGCTGATGCTAGGTGCTGTACAGACACATGGGGTGAGACAGTCCCTGCCCCAGACAAGTCAGACCAACGGTGGCAGAGGAAATGGGGAAATGAGATCCCAGAAGTCACCCAGCTGAAGTCACCCAGCTGGCTAGTGGAAGAAGCTTTTATGGCGGGATCTCAAAGCATGTCTCAGACACAGATGAGCTAAGCCTCACAGCACCGCCCGCGTGCTTTCCAGAGGCCAAGCTGGAAGTGGTGCGCGGGGCATTGCTTGTGGTCACTCTGCAAGCTGGCGGCGGAGGCCCCACAGAGAACCCAGGCGTTCTGGCATCCACAGCTATGCTTAACCCTCTGTTAATATCTCCTGCCTCACTGCTGCTTGTGTGTGCAGTTAACTGGGGGCGCAGAGGGTGCTTTTGAAGTGGTCACGGGAGATTTGAGGCCGGTAAGAAAACCCCCGGGAAGCCAAAGTGCCCCGCAGTTGCTAGGGGTCGGAGGTTGAATCCAATTCGGGACCTGGGGCCGGGGCCCCCTGAAAGTTGCTTTTGTAAATTTCCTTTTGAGTAATCACCGGACCAAGGCTCCTTCCAGGGAAGGAGGAGGTGTTAATTCCTTAGTCTCGCCTTCCCCCTCCAGCGAGCTGGGCTCTGGACAGGAAGTCTGGGATTGTCGTTGTGGGGCTGTCGTCAGGAGCTGGCTGTTTCTCTCTGACTTTAAAGCGATCTGCAGCTGGCTGGGGAAAATGATCTGTTTAGCCGTTCTCTGCCCAACTGGCAGGACACACAGGGGTTTGTGACCATTGCATCAGGCGGTTTGGCTGCGGGTAGGTCAGCAGAACATGGATGCATTTATACTGGAAGCCCAGGTGTTCCCCTTTGCCACTGGGCCTTCTCCCCTGCATTCTGAGCTTTCAAACCTGCATCATCAACACAGGGAACCTTCCTGGAACTGCTTGAGGCTTTCCTGCAGGGATCTCAAAGCACTTTCCAAAGCAAGAGAGGTCTATTGAACTCTTTAGAAATGGGGAAACTGAGGCATGAAGCGGGGAAGTCATGTAGCAGGCCAGGGTCACAGGCTGGATTAAAACCCACCTTTCCTGATTGCTGGCTCAGTGTTCCAACCACTGGACTACACAGGCGATTGCTTGGTGTAAAGGGGCTTCTGAGCTGTTTCCAGGTGTGACATAGTGGGGGGTGCTGTTACAGTTACTGTGTGTGTACCTCAGTCTCCCCTCCCCCTTGCAGCTCTCTGCATGAGGGGAGAGAGGCCAGGCATGACTCGGTGTGGAAGTATGTCAGTGTCTCACCTCCTGGGGACCAGGGTAATGCAGGAGCTGGAGCTGCCTGGGGCCTCAGGGACCACTTGCTGGGAGTTTTTAGTCTTGGTTGGGGAAAGCATGCTAAGTCCAGTAGATGGGGGTCCAGGGGCCTGTAAACCCCTCCCCCCAAGAGGACTAAAGCTGTCTGCCCTGGCTCCCTGTGCTTTGCTGTATCTCAGAGAAGCAATAAACCCTTTTTACTCTACTGGCTGGTGGAGAAACATCTGGCTGCGGACGGGGGTGCAGGGTCGGGGGCTCCCCGGCGCGTCGTCATACCAGGTCAAAGCGGAGGGTGGGAAGAGGGGTGCTGGCCGTGTTCTTACCCTCACTGTCTCTAGCAATCGTGTTTCCACCCTCTGATGCCTGCTGGCTCCCACCTGTGTGTTACCTCCTCATGGGGCAGGGGGGTAGTGTTGCCAGCTTCCCAGGTGGTGAATAAAAGTGGCCGGCTGTTGCATGCCCATCTCTGCTCCCATGGGATATTTTTGTCTCTCTCAGCACCACACTGCTGCAATACGTTTAAATACAGCTGCCTGCCGGTTGGAATTGCCTTCCAAGCAGCACTGAGTGAATGTCACTCCACTCCCTGACTTGGCTCCTAATGGAGTCCAGATGCTGGGTGTTTCTAGGATCAGAGAAAGCCTCTCCTGTGCCTACCCTAGGGTAGCAGGACACATTTTGTAATGCAGCCAGCCATTCTAGGAAGAAGGCCCACATCACTCAGACCTGGCTTTCATGTTTCCTCATGTAACTGCCACAGGGCAGATTTGAACCTGGGCTCTCTGGAGCGTAGTATAGGAGCCGCTACCACTTGAGCTATAAAGCCAGCTGGTGCGCAGCTTAGACAGTAGGGCT